ATTTGATAGAGTTGGAGTAAAGAAATCAAGAGGAATGAAATTGACTTAACATTTAAATGTGTGCCACTTTACTCTGAAAATATAGCCCAGGTCTTGCATGGTATGTTGACAAGGCTACTTAAAGATTGTGCAATTAGAGGTCTAGCTTAATTGTCAACCCTCCCATCTTAGGTCAGACATTAGCAGAGTATGACTGCGGTATGACAAGAAACCTAGTGCCTTAAATATTAAGATTATTTGTGAAGAATGCAACTCATTTTTTTTCCTTTTTGGTGCCAGTCCTGGGACTTGAACTCAGGGCTGGGTGCTGTCCCTTTGCTCAAAACTAGCACTTTACTACTTGAGCCACAGCTCCACTTCTAGCTTTTTTGGGACTTTAGTGGAGGGTAAGAGTCTTACAGGCTTTCCTGCTAGGTTAGCTTGGAACTGCAATCCTCATATCTCAGCCTCCAAAGTAGCTAGGATTATAGGTGTGAGCCACCAACTCCTGGCTACAAACTGATTTTGAACAAGGTACCTTAGTGAGTTCCAGAAAAAGAATTAGAAGATTTTACTTGGTAAATCATATCCTCTTTGAAGGAAAGGAGAGTAAAGAGATAGGAAGTGGTCCCAAATCAGTCTGCCCCATGCCTCTGGGGATCTCTGTTCCCTGTGTTTCTTCCTCCCTCTCCTCTGACCCTCTTCTTACTCACTCTTTCTCCTTGCGTCCCTGTGTTGATAGCTGTTCTGTGGCAGGCGGGCTGACAGCTTCAGGAGGTGCAAGAGGCCCACACTCAAGAGTGAGGAGGCTTTTCTCACAGAGGCTCTTCTATAGACAGAGACAGGCTGGCCAGGAGATAGGCCTGAATGACAAGTGGCACCCCAGAATTTAATTTACTTTCATTTTTATTGTTTTGTATTAGCCTAAATTAATTGTTCAAAGGGATTTCATTGTAATATTGCATATATCCATATAATGTGCTTTGATCACATTCACCAAACCTATATTCTTTGTGTGTGTGTGTGTGTGTGTGCATGTGCGCATGCACGCATGTGTTATTGGGGTTTGAACTAGGCAGGTACTCTACTACTTGACCCACACTACCAGCTCCATGTTACTTTTTTTAATCCTCCCCCTCATTCCTCTTTTAATACTTTTTAGCATTTATATATGTGTGTGTGTCTTTCTCTCTCTGTGTATATATGTATATATAGAAAATATATATGATATATGTGTATTTATATATCTTGTACATATGTACATGTACCCATATATTTATACATATATCCATATATATGTATATACATATATTCATATATATGTATATACATATATATGGATATATGTCTTAAGTACTGCCATCATTTTTATACCCCCACCAACCTCTTCTTTTCCTCTTTCCACTCCCACTGGTTTCTCCCCGCCCCCAAGCTCCCCTTTTACAATCATGTTGTCATCATCATCATTGTCATCATCATTATTTTCTAAATATGAGCAAAAACATTCTGAGTTTGACTTGTCTTGCTCAACATGATAATCTCCAGGTCCCTCCATTTTCCTGCAGACATGATTTCATTCTTCTTTATTGCTGATAATACTCCATTATGTATACTCCCTGCATTTTTTTTCTATCCATTCATCAGATGTTGTATACCTTGCCTGATTCAATAGCTTGGCTGTTGTAAGTAGTGCCACCAGGGGCATTGGTATGCAGATATCTAGGTTTTTTTTCTTCAACATTGTAGAATGCACTCTGCTCTAAAATTAAAATAATGGACTTAACTTTTCCATATCATGTAATGTCTTGATCATTACTGCTTAATTTTAGGAATTTTTCTTTTGAAGATTTGATTCCAGCTCTGCCATTAGACAGTATTATTTTGTACACAGTCACTTAGCCACCATGAGCTTTGTTTATTTGACCTGAGGCTTCCTATGAAATGATTCTCAGGTTCTGTTCAGCTCTAATATTTTGTTCTGTATTCCCTCAGATGATTTTAACTAGAATAATTCAATTTGTAAACTCTAACAATTAGAACAAATTAACAACAGCATCAAGAGGAATGATCCAGTAAAGTCTTCTTGAGAAAGAAGATTACAAATTGCTTTAGATAGTTGGGGGAATAGCCTGAAGTTTTGCTTCTGAGCTGACCTTGGGTGATCTCTACATTAAAAGATCTCTGATTTTGGATCTCCTCTGAGAGCCAGAGAAAAATGTTGAAACCCACAGAGAAAGGTTGCTTCTGAGCCTTCATTGCTTTATTTTTATATGCCAGCCATATTTGAATGCCAAGAGGGCTCCAGAACGGGCTTTCTACATCATGCTGATGTTTGCACAGGAAAGGAGTTATATTTGGTCCAATTCCCAACCCAGTATCTAAGAAGCCAAAACCTGCGCAAAATAGTGTGCATGTGCACGTGTGGGAAAAGAGCACATAAGGAACTTGAGCCAAGTCACATACCCACGCATCACCAGCAAGGATGAGGATCTGTCAGGCTCACTCTCTGCCCACTTTCATCTACATTTCAGTCTTTGAGACTGGGTTGGAGTTGGACTGGCTTTCAAATATTGGAGACATATAACCATGTTCTGTTTATTTCATCTGAATCAGTACTTCAAAAATAAAGTCTGTATTTTCAGAGAGAAACAATGAAGGCAGTATAATCTTTTGTTAAGACAAGTTTTAGAAAGCTGGGTGTGGTAGTGCATGCCTGTAATTCTAGTACTTAGGACAACTGAGGTAGGAGGATCAGGAGTTTCTTTTGAGATCCTGTTTCAAAACAACAACAAAACCAATACTGGGTACCCATATCTTATGCCTGTAATTGTAACTACTCAGGAGGATGAGATCAGAAGATGACAGTTTTAAAATAGCCCAGACAGACAAGCCTGTGAGACTTTTATCTCCAGCCAAAAGTCAGAACCAGAAGTATAGCTCAAGTGGTACAACACCACCCCTAAATGGGGGTAAGCATTTTACACCACGTCAGCTAAAAGTATCACTAACACATGGCAGCCATTTCTCTTTTAAATAGTTTGATGTTTATTGGGTTTCTCTGCCTCAAAAATGGGCCCACAGGCTTCTGCTAAGATATAAATTTTGAGTAAAAGTTTTCAATGCTAGGGGCATGGCTCAAGTAGTAGAGTACCTGCCTAGCGATTATAAGGCTCTAAATTCAAACCCCAGTACCCTCAAAAACAAGAAAACATAACCTTAAGTTTAGCACCTTTTACTAGGAAGTTGTACTTTCCACATTTTTATTGTCTCAGCTGTGCCCTCAACTATGTCATTACTTCACCTGCCCAGAGTTTCTTTTTCTGAGTGATAGCATTTGAATAAAAATAGCTATTCCCTCAAGTTTTCCTTAGGGAAAGTTAGGGCAAGAAAAGTGGCATTAGATATAAGTGGGTTTTGGAGCTCCATCCTCTATGAACCTCCCCTTCAGGTGAGGGAAGCACAGAACGTGAAACATCTCTGTCTTCAAGTAGCTGTTTGCTTTGCCTTTGCCGCACCCTCCATCCTCAGTGAGAAGCTGCTCTCTCCTTTGTTTGCAGGGCAGCAGCTCTTCCCAGCTCCAGTCTTGGACTGTCCAACCCTCCTTCGAAGTGATCTCGGCACAGCCACAGGTCTTTGTCCTTCATCCACCTGTGCCATCGCCGGTCAGCCCACGTCACGCAAACGAGAGAAAGTCAGACTCCAGAAACTATTTACCCATTCTGAATTCTTACGCCAAAATAGCCCCCCACCCAGGCAAAAGGAGCCTTTCCCTCAACTCAGAAGAAAGAGGAGCAAGTGGAATGCTGAAGAAAATCTGTACTGAGAGACCAGGGTCCAGCTTGCCTTCCAGGGAGCCAGGCAAAGCTGGCACTGGACTATCCAATCCCTCCACTCCAGCACCCCCCAGCACCAAACTCGCCGAGGACTCAGCTCCGCAAGGTGTGCCCTCCCTGGTGGCAGGTGGCAGTCCACAGACTCTTCAGCCAGTGTCCAGCAGTCATGTGGCTAAAGCTCCCAGTCTGACCTTTGCATCCCCGGCCAGCCCCATCTGTGCTGCTGACAGTACTCTGCATGGCTTAGAGAGCAGCTCTCCCCTCTCCCCACTGTCAGCAAATTACAGCTCACCCTTGTGGGCTGCCGAGCACCTCTGCCGCAGCCCAGAGGTCTTCCCGGAGCAGCAGCAGAACAAACACAGGCGCTTTCACAACACCCTTGTAGTCCTGCACAAGTCTGGCCTTCTGGAGATCACTTTGAAAACGAAAGAATTGATTCGTCAGAATCAGGCAACTCAGGTGGAGCTAGACCAGCTGAAGGAACAAACCCAGCTTTTTCTAGAGGCCACCAAGAGCAGGGCTCCTCAGGCCTGGGCTAAGCTGCAGGCATCTCTAACATCTGGATCCAGTCATCTAGGCAGTGACCTAGATGCATTCTCCGATCACCCCGACATATAGCACAGGGGCTTATGTTCCTGTTATCTGAGTGGTTCTTTTCATTCTTGCTGTTACTCACACATGTTTCCCATACATTAGAGCATTTCCTTCTAAACTCACTCATGAAACCACATGCCAGCCCCTGGCTGATGTCTTAACCTGTAGTCCATGCGTGGGCCATGCATGTCTTCGTTCCACTGAGGATGTCTGGTTCCCAGTGTCCTTGAGTCTTTTCCTTAGCTGGCAGACACTTAGCTGCATCATAGGGCAAAGGAGGAGAGATGACTGTGGGGTGGGGGGCATTTCTGGCTGGTACCTCCCACCATCCCACTTACTAACTGGATCAAGGTACAGTAAGTAAAATGGATGAGCATTCTGGGCAGTGATGCAAGGTCCCTTTAGGGATCCTCCCTTGTATTGTTTCAGTCATAGACAAAAATAAGAGGAGGTGTGTTTGCATTCCACAGGACATTGCACCAGTTGGGCGAAACCTAAATTGCTCTGGGCACAGGTACAAGCACTTAATTACATTTAACTTGGTTTTCTTCAACTTGAAGGTGGAGGATAGGAAGAGTAGTACCATCTGCCTCCTGCACTTGAATCATACAGATTTCACTTTAGGGAGTAGGCAAAAGGCTTCAGACTTACAGTATGAGATTGATTCAGTGCCATCTGGAAATATAGTGGATGAACTGATCTTTGACTGAGAGACTGAAGATAGTAGCCATGGCCAGCATTTTCCTGTCAGCAGCTGGGAGATTCTTGAGCTGTTTTATGTCTGAAAAACTCAAGGATAGCCTTAGTGGCTCCTGAGGGTCTGGTGTAGGTTACCTCTCTGCTGCCACCTTTTTGGTTTGCCCCCTTTTGTTTTTAGAAGAAAGAAAAGGTTATGCTTGTAAACTTTGAATTGTACAAAATCACCCTCAGGTTATAGAAGATCATCAAAATTGGAAAGCGTTCTTCTCACCCATTTCCTGTTTTTGTCTGTGCCATGTCATGGTGATGGAGAAAGTTGTGGGATCATCTTGCGCCTCTTTCATGTGTTAGTGTTTTATTGGTTTCATGCCCAAGGGTATCATGTTGGTTCTCTGATTCTTGTCTCAAGATGGAGAATGAGGAGAATTTCCAGATGATACACACTCTTTTCTGCATTATCTTATCAGCCATGAGATGCCTAAGTAGTAACCTCAAAATATTTTATACCTTCTTTTAAAATTTTCATCCCCTGGAGAACTTTGTTCAGTATAAATTCCTTCGATAAGTTTTCATGGCAGTCTGTAAGGAAAATGCACTTGAGGTTTTGTGAAGTCAGAAGTTAATGATCCTATTTACTAGGTAACTGCAGCTCTAGAACATCATTTGGAATGCTGAGATTTCCCATACTGTGCTCACAGACACATGATGTAGATATGATGAGTTTAGAAAATAAATAACTGGGTAAACCTCTAGACCGTTGTGACTAACGGAATCATCACCCTACCATTCATTTGCTTCCTGAAAGACTTTCCAAAATCAGAGCAAGTATGTCTCTAACCAGACTTTTCTCTTGGCCCGTTCTCTTTGCGTCCTCTGAGTCTGCATGGTACTGTAGCAGCTCTAGTCTGCCCCATGCTAGGAAGCTTCCTGTTTGGCAGAATGAGTTTGGCAGCAAAGCTATAGAGACAGGTGCATTCACAACAGCCTGGGCACCAGTCATGAGTCTTACTGAGTGTCAGAAATCTGAAAGCACTTGCCGAGAACCAAATGTATGCCTTTGGAAAAACCCTACGTGGAGCTCTGAGCCTCTTGGACTCTTTCTCCTATGCTGGGCTTTGCATTTCCCTTCCTATTACTGAAAAAGATGAAAGCCACCATTGATGCTCACTGCTGAGTGGCAGGGAGGGGTAGCAGTACCCCCACTCCTCTCTCATCTCATACCTAAAGTTAGAGTCTCTAGGCTGTTAGCATGAATGTGTTCTTTCCTTAGCGGAGCTAGGCACAAATGAGCCCAGGTAGAGAAGCTAGATCTTGGGAGAAGAGATCCATTGAGTCCAGAGGCCAGATCTGCAAATGGAGGAATACCGGGGTCCACCAGGAAGATCTCCGTTGGTTGCACAACACTGTAAGTAGTAATGGCCCTAGCGGGTCCTGATAATATTTGGCATGAAGTACTCAGAATTTTCTGAAAGTGGGACACCAGTGTTAGCTGAGACCATCCCTGAAGAGACTCTTTGGCAGATTTTATTGGCATTACTGAAACGTGTAAAAAGTTTGTGATTGAATTGGTTATGAGAATGGAGTTTGATGCTGTTTGTAATTTATTATACTCATTGCTTTTTATTGATTATAGTATCGTCTGACTTTTCTTCTCTACTATGATTCCTTTGACAAACAAATAACTCATGCATATATTGAAGTGATTTTCCAGCTCTGAGTTATTTAGGGGTAGAAATTTATTTAACAAATGTGAATTCTCTTGAGAAAGTATGAAGTTATATAGAAATTGACTGTGAAATATCAGAGAAAAATAAAAGTCACTTACTTGAAAACCATTTGGCCCTTTTGGTTTATAACTACTTAAAAAAGTACTAAAGGAGGGCTGGCTATAGCTCAGCGATAGAGCTCTTGACTAGCATGTGTGAGGCTTTGGCTTCCAACTCCAGCAATGTAAAAAACAAAGTCCTAAGTGAAATCTAAATATTTAAATAGCTTTAAGGTTCCATGTAGTTCGGTGTCATTTGGGGACACTGAGATTTGACACTGAGTATGTAGGAATTTACAATGAAGACTTTGAGGAAACAGGCAGTCTTAATGCGCAGTCCATTGTTCCCCAGAGTCTGACGTTTACATCGCAGAGGGTGGAGAATAGTTCATCTGTTTCCTGAGTCTGATGGACATTCCACAACTAGAACTTTTAAATGACAAAACAGTTGTTTGGTGGGATAAACACAAGCCCCATTAAGTGAGGGTCTTTATACAACAGAGGAGTCCTTGGCCAGTCTGTCTCAGAGACTTTCCCCAGGCTTCCTAAAAGTGTGTACCTTGCCAAGGTCCTTCTAGGGATGTGACAGGAAGATGTGGGGTCCTTTCTGCTTCTCAGGCCAGCAGCGTGGGGATTCTTCCTTGAGGTATTTAAAATGCTGGGAATAATACCTGGCGGGGAGATAGCATGATCACAAAGCCTTCCAAGGGCAAGGCTTCTTCATTGCTGACCCCTGTGATTTCCCTAAATGTGGGAAACTGCATAATTTGTGGTAGTGGGGGACTGCATTTGTGCTCTCCCCTGGGGGGTGGGGGGGACAAAGGGGGAGAAAAAAGAAAACAAAAGAAAGTGCTGGGAAAATATAAGCCAGGTACTGGTGGCTCATGATCTAATCTCAGCCAACCTGGGCAGGAAGCTTTATGAGATTCTTATCTCCAATTTACCTCCAAAAAGCTGGAAGTGGAGCTGTAGCTCAAGTAGTAGAGCACTAGCCTTGAACAAAAAGCTAGAGACAATGCTTAGGCTGAGTTCAAGTCCCAGGACACACACACACACACACAAATGCTGGGAATATAAAAAGCTTATCCTAATTAAAAGGCCTGGAGGGTTGTTACTGCCTGATCTATAGTAGTATTTCTATTCTATAAATAATTGTCTAAGTGACTTAAATATATAGCTATGTAGTTAATAAAATTGAATTAAAAGGGATGGATAGAAAAGGCTCCACCTGAAATAGAACCACCCTTCCTTTAGAAGCAGAATCCAGAGAAGGGAGAGAACATAGTAAAGTAGACCCTGTGAGCCATAGGAAAGCCCCAGGTATTTGAGTGTGCAGCTCCTTGCCTGCCTCATGGTTATGGTTCATGTTAGGAAAACACTTGCCCATCCAGGACTGTTTGGGCAGGAAGCTAAGCCACATCTTTGATCCATCAACCTGGATGCATTGGGGTCTAAAGACCTAAATTTGCATGTCTTATCTTTTTTTGGGGGGGTCTATTCTGTGGCTTGAACTGGACATTGTCCCTGAACTTCTTTTTCTCAAGACTAGTGCTCTACCACTAGAGCCATAACTCCACTTCTAGCTCTTTTTTTTTTTTTTTGGTAATTTATTGGAGATAAAAGTCTCACAGACTTTCCTGCCACAGCCGTCTTTGAACTGCAGTCCTCAGATCTCAGCCTCCTGAGTAGCTAGGATTACAGGCATAAGCCACTGGTGCCCAGCTACATCTTTTATTTTGGGGGGGCGGGAGGAGGGACGGGGATGTACTTGCTGGACCTAGATACTCAGGACCTGGGTACTGTCTCTTAGCTTTATTCACTCAAGGCTGGTACTCTACCAATTGAGCCACAGCTTCGCTTTTTGGCTTTTTTGCTGGTTAACTAGAAATAAGAGACTCTTGGGCTTATCTGCCCAGGTTGGCTTTGAACCAAGATCCTTAGATCTTTGCCCTCTTGAGTAGCTAGGATTACAGGTATGATCTACTGGCTTTGGTTTGGTTTTTGTGTCTCTCAGATTTACTATATGGCTCAGGCTGGCCTTGGACTCATGATCCTTTTGTCTCAGCCTCTCAAGTGAGATTTTGTGTGTGTGTGTGTGTGTGTGTGTGTGTGTGTGTGTGTGTGTGTGTGTGTGTGGTGCTAGGGATCAAATGTAGGGTCAGCACTCTGCCAACAAGCTATATCCGCAGCTCTTCAAGCAGAATTCGTGTTGCCCAAAAGGAGATTCATTTGTGATTAAATGACATGCTGCTCAGTCATCTGTGGACAGCCCTTTCCTTTCATCTGAGATGAAGGACTCAGCTCTTTTTTTTTTTTTAATCTTTTGGAAAAGAATATCAATTAGTCTTTCATTTCCTCTCAGACTTGTCTCCCCACAACTGGAAATGATGTTCTACATGTACTAGTATAAGGAGCTCTGGATCAACTTACTGGTATCAGTGTCAGTAGTTAGGGACCACTGGATACTGTAGTACTTTGTGATGGTCCCACTCTTTGGGTGTCACCCTTCAACCACATAGGAAGAAAGATTACAGATGAGGTCTAGCTTGGGAACACAGAACAGTAAGTGTCACTCAGAAAGATGCAGTGGCATGTCTTAGATCTTATAGCCTTTTGGTCTGCCACTTCTGTTTCTCTTTTTGAGGAAGGTAGGGGAGAAATCTTTGCTGCACATGATATCCTGAAATTGTGGCTCAGTGCATAAGAATAATATCCTTTTTTAAAAAAATATCTGTATTTGTTATATCTCCTAGTGCTTTTTTTTTTTAAATGTGTGTTTTGGAATACTGGGGACTGAGGTTGGGTCTGGCCTTTGCAGTGCTGTACCACTCAA